CCTTCCAGCATCAAGCCCTCCTTGTATCTGGACCTCCGTCTGGACAATCCGACAGCCTTGCTATCCGACATAACAGAAAGTTTTACATTTAGTGTCGGATTATCGAGTCACGGCTGTAGTTATCTAGTCTATATATCTACACCACGGTTTGAGGTATAAATGATTTTTTTCTCTTTTCTTTTCATCCAAAACCCCCCATAATTCATGAGATGATACATTTTCTCACTTTTGAGAAAAGTCAGGAAGTGAGAAATCGAGGGATTTTATTTTGACAGCCTAACATGGATTATAAAGATGCAGGGGGGTAAAGCTGAGCCCTTGGCATTTCTAGTGTTAACTGTTGGATGTGTCCAGTACATCAAGTCTGCTCTAAGTTATGCACTCTAATGAAGGCTTCAAGTTGTGTGTTTAATACCCTACATTCTGTTGGACAAACTGCTGAATAGCAACAGACATTTTTAAATGAAGGCACTGTATTGCATTAGTTGATTTAGAAGTCAGATATCATGGTGTCTACTTACTTGAATGGCATTTCCTAATGTACCCGTGTCTGATGTTGGTGTGTTAGAAACGGTTCTATTACCTAAAAAATGACTACTGCATGTTTAACAGTTCATGAACAACTGATCAAGTTGGCCAATTACTGAGGAAAAGAAATGTTTTCAAACTTGAGTTTGGCCTTACCTTTCTCAAATGTATCTTGGAAGCAGGAAAAGAAAGAGACAGTATATTGTCAAAGCAGCGTACTATCAAAGCTGTCGTCCAGGCTGCCGAGGTTAGAACAAAGCCTTAAATGAAAATATCTCTTACTTCTGTGTGACCGAGTTTCCATGGATTGGGATGAACAAAGGGAAAAGGTAGGGAGCCATGCAGGTGGAGACCAGCAGACAGGCCTGACTCTTCAGGAGGCTCAGGGAGGAAGTGTACAGCCACAGCCAGCTCTGAGGAGCAAACATCTGGTTACCACCACAGCACCGCACATGAACAAAGAAGAAGCTACAGCTGCTCACTACTCACCAGTTTTGTGCCTTCAACAGCGTTTTTATAACTAGAGAAGCTGATCCAAGGGCCAAAGACAACGGTGCCCACAAACAGAGCATAGCCCAGGAACTCAGCAGGGGAGGGCAGGGGGCCCACCACTCCTCTGTCCAGGTCAAAGGCCAGAGAGATGGCCTTCATGGCCACCACCATCTGAGAGCCTGGCCACACACAAACACAATGTTTCCATCACTTCAGAAGACATCACTTTGACTTATAGGAACTTCAGGAAGACCAATCCTTATCCTAATCAGTAGCGCTGCTTCTATCCTCACCCTGAACCAAGTCTTTATGCTAAAGCTGACTTACATGATGACAACTTGGGCAAACGTGTAGCATCAACAGGAGGAACTCACAAGAAAAAAATACAAACACAATTTTAAAAAATGACTTCATAGTTACCTCTGATTTTATGCCAGGTCACCATGTCGATTAAATGCAACTCTCTGAAATGAAGAGGTTTGAAATGACATCAAAAGACTTGAATTCTACATCAGAACATCGAGGGTTTAAAGAACAACACAGGAATGAATTATTGGAGAAAAAAGCACAAAATAACTGGTAATCATCCATCCATTATACACCGCTTAGTGCTCACTAGGGTCATGGGGGGCGGAGCCTATCCCAGCTGACTCAGGGTGAAGGCAGGTTCACCTGGACAGGTAACCAGTCTATCACAGGGCTACACTTAGAGACAGACAACCAAGCACACTCACATTCACACCTACGGACAATTTACAATCACCAATTAACCTCAACATGTTTCTGGACTGTGGGAGGAAGCCGGAGAACCCGGAGAGAACCCACGCTGCACGGGGAGAACATGGAGACTCCACGCAGGAAGATCCCGGGTGTCCTCACCGGGACGCCAACCGGCGACCTTCTAGCTGTGAGGCCACGGTGCTGACCACTGAGACACCTGCAGCCTGGTATTTTCAATAATGTCCTAAAATATTTTCATTAAGTATCCACAGAAAAAATGTCTTATTGTAAGTGTTGTGACAGGAAGAAAAGTGTTTTTAATTTAGTAAAGTTAAAGCAACTGAAGTAACCAGATCAGAGTCTCTCATCATGTCTTCTCTGACAATGTCAATTAAACAATAAGTGACGAACAATAAGTCATATTTTTGCTGTTGTGCATTTCAAAACAAATGCCGTTTGACATGTGCTCTGATTCATTATGCCATTTTCATCCTTTGGTTCTGCTTATAAATTAGATGATTCATGATTGGCACAAATCCCAGCTCCTCCTCAGCAGCAACCTCAGGTCCATCTGCATCAGACGTGTTGTCACTAAAGCCCTCCAGTGTCAAAGGAACTGCATAGATTACCTTGTCAATGTAAACGACCTTGTGTTTCATACATGAATATTCCACAGCAGTGTGTAAAAATGAACCACGAGGGTCACAAAACAAGCAGCAGCCGACCAGTTAATGATGCTAAAGTGAGTGTGGTCCCTCCAGTTCAGTATTCCAGTTGGCTGGTAGCCTTCTCTCTGGACCAACTCATTTAAGCAGAGTAAGAATTGTTTCCCCTCCATTCACTGAAAGGCTTCTGCAGTGTGCTCTCACCCTATTAGGAGGTAGATGAGGATGACTGCTGAGAGGAAGATCCCTCTGCTGCTGGAGTGTCGGCAAAGAAGCAGGATGAAGTAACAGAGCGCGCTGAGCAGCAGCATCCACAGCACGTGCAGCTCAAAGAACAGGAAGAGGCCATACATCCCAGCCAACGCCGACACTACATGTTTCACAGTGGACGCAACACCTAAGGAACACAAGCAAGATAACATTCACAGTCTCAAGCCCAGTGGCTTCTTGTTTCTCGAATAAGACTCTTTCACGACTTGAAAAATGTGTAGAATCTGTGTAGCCTGTAGCAGGATGACAAACACACATTTACAGACATTGGAAGGCATCAGAAAGCCCACAGGTGAAAGAATGGGTTGGTGCAACGACTGAAACCGCATCCTATGAATGTCTGTTTAGTAGTGACGACAGGGGGGAGGGCGACCCCTTGGGACAGGTTTTGGGACTACATAACAGTAGACAGGGACCCCCACTAGGTTTGTTTTTGTGCTCCCTGTTATCTGTATACCTCAGTAACATGTCTATACAATGTGTGCAGAAGCGGGTCAGCTTAGGGAGTGTGTGTCGGTTGTGTACACATCCTGTGCATGTACTTGCTAGTTGATATCATTATGTATGAATTTTCTTTTGCATTTAATGGCTATTTTTGAGACAAAAATGTGTGAAGTCTGTTGCCTGAGTTAATGTCAGTTATATACTATCCTGTATGGAGAAATGTACTAAGACAGCCGTGTACCGAGCCTTTGAAAAGTTCAATAAAAACTTTAATTATATATATATGTGTGTGTGTGTGTGTGTGTGTGTGTGTGTATATACATATATATACACACATATGTGTGTGTATATATGTATGTATATGTATGTATATGTATATATATATATATATAAATCGGCTAGACATGTCTCTCTGTGAAGGTTCCTACTTGCCAATATGCAGTGAGTGCAGCTCACCCAGTCTGAAGCAGAGTCTGCAGACCAGGCAGAGCAGCAGCAGCCTCCAGACCTGCTGCACCCCCTGCTGGACGGTACTGAGACCGCAGCTCTCAGCCAGCTGCTGCCACACGGCCAGCCGGCTGGACATGGCTGCAGCAGAGTCCTGCAGCTGCACACACACACACACACACACACACACACAATTACAAAATGTAGAACAACTTTCATCAAGCTTTGTAAATGACAGCATGAAACATAAACAAGTTGTACCAGAACCACTCATCATGGGATCCTGATTTGCTAAAATGCTATAAAGTGGAAATATAAAGTTTTACATTATATCACACAACCGTATCAGAAACCTCCTAATCCTGCCCCATTCAGTGAGCAGGAAACTCCAACTACATGAACTGGGTCTGCCTCTGACGAGCCGAACACTCAGCGGTACCTTTAACGTGGGTGTCGTTAGCTCTGTTAGCAAGTCGAAGCTACGCGCTAAACATCCCGCTTTAAGCTCGTGAACACGAGCAGAGCCGGAACGAAGCGCTGCTGCCGCTCAGGACGCTGTTCAGGTAGCAGAGATGCTAACCTGAGCTGCACAAGGAGGACAATAACGTGTCCGCTGCTCTGCTCCTCCTCCTCCTTCTTTTTTCTTCGGCAGGCTCTTCTTCTTTGGTATATTGGCGGTCGGCACACCCGCTTAAGGCGCACTACCGCCACCTATAGGACGGAACTGTGGATCACCAGATTGGCAGTGAAGAATAAAGACTAACCCCTTAAACCTGGCGGGACATCACATCTTGGGTTTTATTACCACAGCAGATAGTCTTTTTCATTTTATTATTAGGGTCCGAGCACTAACGGTGCAAGGACCCTATTGAAACCCTCGTGATTATTATTATTATTATAGTTCAGCCGAATCAAACGCGTTTTTGAGGGCCTTAAACGTGCTCGAAAAGTCACCAAAATCGCCATGCACATCAGGACTGGCGGAAATCGGAAACTATCAGAGATGTGGACATGTCACGGCAAAAATGGCTCCACAGCGCCACCTTGAAAATTTCAATGGAGTCCTGTCCGAAGCACGTTTGCCCTAGAGCTACGCAATTTCATAGGCATATAGAGCTGGTCAGGACGAACAAAAAAGTCAGGCTGTGCCAAGCTCTAAAATGCAACACGGCTCAACTGCACCCCCTACAATATTTCAACAGAGTCCCATCGCGGCTACGTTTCACCTCCACCTATGACCTTCGCCACACATGTGTAACAACTTGTGACGCACAAAAAAGTCCATCAGCATGTTTCTGTAAATCCAACAGGAAATCCGCCATGTTGGAAAAACGGCGAGCATGCCAGGCCATTTTTCGTCAAAAATGGCCATTTTTGGCCATTTTCAAAATCGAACTCCTCCTGCAAGGTTCGTTGTACACGCCATTTGGCAGGCACAAACTACATGACGTGGTGACTAAAAGTTCTTCAAATGCTCTGCAGATGAGGCCTGGTTTGGAAATGGCGGCCCGTCCAATTTCGATCAATGGCCATTTTGTCCATTTTCACAGTGTTTTTTGCATTCAACTGACTGTTGTCAGATGGTCGTTTCACCTACAGCTACAAGATTCACTGGGCATGTGTAGCAGGTCAGGACGCACAAAAAAGTCAATCAGCACCAAGTCCTAAACCCAACAGGAAGTCCGTTATGTTGAAAACCCCTGTGACAATTTTG